TATCTATCTATCTGTCTGTCTGTCTGTCTGTCTATTTATCTGTCTGTATGTATGTATACTTTTTAAAAATGTTTTTTTTTTGTTACTTCAGAACTGTCAAACAAGGTTGTTGATAAACTTTGCTTTAAAAATACATTTATGTGAATTTCACTTCAATGAATTGCATTCAAGCACATTCAAATGACACTTACTTTTTGTAAATATCCATGTAGGCTTCCCTGAACATTCTCCTCTTCCGCATATTTTCGCTTAAAGTAGGCGACTTTCGACGTTGTTGACCGTTGAGGGCACTCTTAGAGGAAAGACCCTGCAGGCAAGCACACAGGGATTTTGTGAAAACCATGGCTTTGCAACTGGATGGAAATTAGATTTTTACAAATGTAACATCTCTTTTTTCAATCTCTTACTGTGAAAGATGATTCAACATAAAACAATTCCATCAGTGTAAATGTGTCCCTAACACTATGCCACTAAGTGGATTAGGGTAGACTACTGTCAGTGTGTTATGTAACAAGGTCTGTGTGTGTAGTGTGTATTAATTACCTGAGAACTGCTTCACGCAGACACAATCACACACCTCTCTGACAAATCCTCTATTCACCTGAGATTCTTTCCTCTGGCTCACACACATTGCCTAATGGTTCCTCAGAGAAGGAAAGAGACAGAGAATCGTTTACTGGATCTTTCTATTTTCTATCCGATTTCAGGTCAGTATTATATTGGTGTGAATGTGTGACAACTAGCCCCGATCTTCCTTACATGCAGAAATTAGTGTAGTTCTGTCTCAGAAAAGCGAATACAAGTCGGATAGGAACTGTTGCAGTAAATGTAATGACACTAGCAGGCAGCTGTGCTGTAGTTGCACGGTGTCTTGCTGCTGTGTAATTCAGAGCCCGATCGAGCTGCATTTTGATTTATCAGGTTCAAAGAAACGTGCCGCGGCGCGTGCTGTCAACACAGCGGTGCAGCGCGCACTAACCGTGGGCGGATAGATTAGTGTGGGCTGCGTGTGAATTTGTGCGCTCGAGAGAGAGAGAGAGAATAAATAGCCAAAAAGGTATTGATCTTCACTGTACTTTCTTTAAAATTACAATTCATTTTGGTGGCTGTATTTTATACAGTTCTAAATATAAACGTCATTAAATATTAAACATTTTCAAACAATTTTAACACAGGTCCTATCAACCTGTTTAAACTAAAAATCGTTATTTTTTGTACTGATAACACAGATGGTATAATGCCATATGATGCCGTTAAGTTCATATGAAGAAAATTCTGGCAATGTCCAATTATGCATAAAATATTTGTAATTCTTATGTTAGCTTACTCATAATTATCATGAATTATCCTTATTATGTTTTGTATTTAATTTGAAATTTATTTTATTTAATTAAAGCAATTCACATGATTTATTTCAACACATTTTTAACAATGTTTTGCGTTGCTAGCTGCACTGTGGACAAAATAGCAGTTGTTTTTGACACTGGATGCAACAGCAAAAACAATAGTTTTCGCTTTCTAATGTAATTTTAGAAATGCTATTTTGCATTCAGCCATGATTTTTTGTTTTTTTTTGCAACATCCAGTATTTAGGGTTAACAAAACAAGAGTAAGTATTCACCTGGTCATGTGATATGTGATCCATTCCATGCAAATAAAAATCTTATTTAAGCGAATTATTTGATTGGAAGCTTCATTTCATCATCATCTAAAATGCACTAACGAGTTTCAGGAAAAGCCAGTGCATTTTTTAATTTCTCCGTAAAAATACATTTGAAAATATTCTAAACTAAAAACTAAAAATGGAACCTATAGCCTAATGTTAAAATATTTTTTAACAGTATGGCAATGTAGACTAAAGTTATTTACAGTAGCATGTTACTTTTTTATTTTTCTAGTGTGCCAAATAAGTAGCCTACCTTCAATAACTGAAAATAACACAGAATATGCATGTTGTATAATGCAGCAGCCACTCAACTGTCACGCTAATGAATGAATCACACGGAACGCGCATTTTCCAAAAATAAAAAAAAAATCCAAACTAGAGAACGGGTCTGTTATGTGTAGTACGATTATACAACTGCATTTGCTATAACTGTTGAAAAATAAACAAAAGCATGTAGTAAAAATAGAATGATGTTTTAAGTACACTAACATAGAAAAAAAAAAAAACTAGGCTATGTGATTAACAGAGGTAAATGATCCTACCTTATTTCTAAAGCCACATTAACAGTCCCCGCACGCGCGTTCTTCATCAAGCCAGAGGATCAAAACAGCTCATACTGTGCCGAATGTAGCCGCTTTCAGCCCCGCCGGAGCTTGACGCTTCGCCCCCAGATGTCGAAGTCTTGCTTTTGATTTAATCCCTGTAGTATTCGACTCACTCTCGGCTCTTAAAATATCCCCTTTCTGTGCAGCGAGCAATAACAGACTGCACCGGCTCCTGATTGGTCGACGCCGAAACAGATGTTTCCTGTTGCTAGGAGTGTCACTAGGCAATGATGACGCTCCAGCATCAAACTCCATTCTTCTCGCATCCTCTGCTGCTGCGTTTCCTCCTCTCTCTTCTTGAGTATTTCTTAACATATGGCTTATCTCCTTACTATCAGTTTTACTTTTGAAAGGTTTTATTGCTCGTATATTCCTACAACATATCTCTCTGGCGTACATTAGTATATAGTACGATCTTTTAACCTCACATCTCCAAGCTTAATTATCTCCTTCGAGCATAAGCGATTCATCCACTCCCATACGCAAACATTACATGATGGGAAAATTAAAAAACACTCTTCTGGCAAACAGTTTCAGATAGGCTACTTTGTCAGTCTGATCAACAGATGATATGATCATATGGTTGGTTAATTGTACATTTTTCAGTGCCAGTATTACCTATTTTCACAGTTGTGGTACACTAAGACCAATGCATAATCAGTGTAACAAAATAAAGATCTATTGCTATTCTGAATCATAAAAAATCACATTGCCAGCAAAATTAGTGTATTACGGATGTCTTTAATGATAGACAAAAATATATGCATTTATCTCCAAAAACCACGTTGTATTTGAATGCATGCAAAACAGGCACTATTGATTTTTAAAACACTGTGGTCCATGCATCTGTAATGTTCCAGAGTTGTCCATGCTAATCTCCAATATCACTGGCTATAAATAAAAATCCATACAGGTTTGGCCAGATCAGGCACTTTATATATGCATATAGCATTACAGGCATGCATTACAAAAGAGTTTGGGTTTTAATGTCATAAGGACCGTGTTAAGATTGTCTGAAGATTTTCTTGGACATGCGTGAGTGTCTGTGCTCTGAGTACAGACAATTTTTGGTAAGTAGAATTGGTCTCTTTCCAAGCAATTACAATGAATGGGGACTGAAGCTTTCAAGCTTCAAAATGGATTCACAAGCACCATAAAAATAGTGCATATCACTTGGGCACTATACGCGAAGCCATCTCAAGCCATACAATAGCTCTGTGAGAGGAACAGGCCGAAATGTATTCCACGATATTCTCCAGTCTTCTGCTAGGCATTTATGATCAGATCTTTGAGTAACTGATTCACATGACTTTGAAAAACAGATCAGTCTCTTCAAATGAATCATTCACACCATTTTTGTGAACTGTTTCACTGAACTAAATCGAGTGAAAGGATTCATGCACGATAGATCAAACATGGATGTCAAAATTTTCAATGAATAACATTAGTCTTTTTAAAGGTGACATATCATGAAAATCGGGTCCCTGGTGCACCTACCAACAGAGAAAGGCTTACCAAAAATTTTTACTGGGTTGTTCTTTTTCACGTTTTCTGGGCAAGCTTGTGAAAAAATGAGCATGTCAGATTTTGCTCCCCCTTTGAAATAGAAATGGGATCTTTAACGCCCCTTAATCTGCACGTTTCCACCCACAGCGCCGCCTATGTGTTTTCGCAAGTGACATTGCCAATGGTGTGCCAGTTCTACCACATGGACGAAAGTTCGAGCAAAGCATGCTAACTGTTCTGACACACAGATCTAATATAAACATGCAATTTCTTTCCCAGCTATTTACCTTCACAGACATAACCGACTGTTTTTGTAACTCGTGTGTTTTTCACATAAACTTGTGTTTATTTGACAGTTTAAGTGCAATAAGACATGAAAGAGAACTTGGTTTAGTACTCACATGCCATGTGACAGACACTTTCTGTGCGTGTGCTTCAGATGTGTGCACTCAGTAAACCATATACAGTATCAGAAGTTCAAACTGATATGGTTTAAAACACATGATTTCAGCGTGATAGACAAGATAATCAAAACCAAGCAGATGTTTTTTAGCAGAGTATCTGAGGTACAAGCTGTAAAGGCACAGCCCTATTCTGGAAAAGGGGGCGGGGAGCAGCAGCTCATTTGCATTTAAAGAGACATACACGAAAACAGTGTGTTTCTGCTTCCAATCAAAATAGGCATTTTCAAAATGATATTATAAATGATATGTGGGGTATTTTGAGCTGAAACTTCACAGACAAATTCTGGGGTCTCCTGAGACTTATATTACATATTGTAATAAGGGACATAACAGGTCTCCTTTAAATCCTGACCAGCACAAGTCCTCATTCAGTGAAATTACTAAAAAGAGTTAAACAATGGTTGAATGGTTGAATGAAAAGCATTCATAATAGAACATTATGAGGGTGAGTAAATAATAAAACAGAAATTTCAATTTTGGGTGAACTACGTCTTAAAGTAAATTGCTGATATCTCTTATTCTGATATGAATAGGAATAACTTGCGTACTCCTTTTAACAGCAACTTTTATCATAACACTGTCCGTGAGTCCGTGACTTTATATTACAGCATAATTTGATGTAAAATGTAATAAAAAGAAACAGCTTTAGTGTCATCGGTAGGAGAGCATGAATGAAAGTGCACGTGTTCAACTAACAGTTTTCTGCTCATTAAACCTTTAGTCCCACCAAAACTGGTTCTGGTGTTCAAGCTTAAAATGATCTGAAGAAAGGCATTTAATAATTTCAAATCAATCCTCTATTCATGAAATCGCTAGGCGACAATCACCGTGGCTCGGGCTATAATGCATTTTGATTGGTTGCTGCTGGAGTTGAAGAGAGTAGTCTGTATATTACGCCATGAAGTAATTTCCTGGTTACCAGATAAGAGGCTGTATCAAGTACTCTCAGGGAGAAGGAAAGTGGCGTGTGGGTGTTTCTTTGTGTTTGGATGTGCTTCCAAAATTGACATGCCTTATCTTTGTTTGATACTGTTAAAAGTGCTTGTTCAATTCCGGTTTTTGTGGGTATTTTTGGTCTTGGCTTTCACCTCCTTCCCAAAGGAAAATCCAGCTGAACGCAGTAGGTATGAGTGATTAGACTTCTACCTCTCTCTCCTCTAAGCTTCCAGTAGTGTGTGCCAGCGGCAGACTTGTTGGTTTCCGCTCTCCTTCATGTCCTGCCAGTGAAGAAGTTCCTCCTCACCGCTGCTGTTCTGGCCCAGAGCCACCCAGCCAATCATCTCCTTGCGTTTCATGTTCCGCCGATTGTAAATGGAGACCATTAATGTGACGTCTGACAGTTGGAACAGTGCGACCTGGAAGACAAATGTCTCCTCGAAGACAGGATTCGGCTGACTGCGACGGATGGACGTCTTACAGCGGGATATCTCCTGTCCCATGGAGTTTAACAGAGCAAGCTTACCAAATGTATCTGAAAGAGAAACACGTCACTAAATCACACCTCAATATATTTACTTAATTATCTTGAACGTGAACCTTTTATGATTTATTCCATCTTCTCCCAGTGATCAAATCTTTTTGTTATTGGATAATACTAATCTGTGAATTTGTTTTATATTAAGCAGCACAACTGTTTTCAACATTGATAACAATAAGAAATGTTTCATGAGCACCAAATCAGCATATCAGAATGATTTAAGAAGGATCAGATGTATATGAGTTTTTCTCATCTGAACAGATTTGGAGAAATTTAGCATTACATCACTTGCTTATCAATGGATCCTCTGCAGTGAATGGGTGCCGTCAGAATGAGACTTCAAACAGCTGATAAAAACATCTCAATAATCCACAAGTAATCCACACAACTCCAGTACATCAATGAATATCTTGTGAAAAGCTGTGTGTTTGTAAGAAACAAATCTATCATGGTGTTTTCACTTTAAACTCGCTTCTGGCTAAAATGAGAGTCAATAATCCATAATAATGTTTCCTACAGCGAAAAAGTCCATGTTCTATTGTTCTCTCACATAAAAGTCCACCAACATATTTGTTTAGAACTGTTTTCACATGTAAATGATGCTTTATCTGCTCATATTTCTCTCCTGATTCAGAAAAAACACTTTTTCACTGAAGAAAGCAACTTAATGGACAGAACAATTATATTTTAACCAGAAGCAATGGCTTGAAGTGGAATTGTGTGGATTACTTGTGGATTATTGTAATGTTTTTATCAGCTGTTTTGGACTCTTATTGTGACGGCACCTATTCACTGCAGAGGATCCATTGGTGAGCAAGAGCTGTAGTGCTAAATTTCTCCAAATCTGTTTTGATGAAGAAACAATCTCATATATATCTTGGATGGCCTGATGGTGAGTACATTTTCAGCAAATTTTCATTTTTGGGTGAACTATTTTTTAAAGAGACATTAAAAAAATGGTAGAGTAGATATGTACTGTAACAAATATTGTTTTTATTTTTAAAGTAAGCACAAATCTGTGACACAGCATTATATAACAGTATATGTTTGTGTATGTATGCATGGTTTTCTTCAGCAGTGACTCATCGACTTGATGAGAGAGGTGTGAGAAAAAGATCTGTGGCTCTGTGATCGATTAAATGCCCTGTAACTCCATTCACCTAGAAGTCATTGTGAGTGACTGTGACAGATTAATAGTCATACGAACAGCATGGACTCTAAAAGCCTGATGTTTGACCCACAACACAATGTGTGAGGATGACACATTCAAAATGTGCTTGTACAAATGTGTGTTCTAGCAGCTTGTTCGTGTAGGAAGGATTTATTGCAGTATTTACTCTGAATCAATATCAGACGGCTTTACAAAAGGTTATTTGCTCAAGAGTCACTCCTGATGGTCTAATGATGCCTGTGAATGTGTTTCTGAGCCTCTGTTATTGTGAGTGGGACGGTGTGTTTACCTGGAGGTCTGTTGAGAGCGAAGTTACGGAAGTGGCTGCCTTTAATGATCTCTACAGACAGTCGTCCTGTGGTGGCATTATATGATAAACCCAGCAGTAGTTCTGGGTTTCCACCATGAGACACAGAATGACTGGAGGAAGCACTGTCACTCTGAGCGCTGAAAGACACCTGGGAGTCTACTGTCTGCAGGGAGGGAGATGCCAACCTAATTAGTTGATTTTGTACATAAAGTGTAGTTCTACATAGGTTTTCAACATATGGACACTGAACTATTTCATTATGCTTGTTGGCATTTCTTTGTAATTATTTGTGAAATTTACTAGCTAGTTTGGCATTAAAATAGTTTCTGAGTAAATCCTACACCAATTTATTTTCAACGTACCTTTTAAAAAATGTAATTCCTTTTACATATGTTACCCTGAACCACACATATGTCTTAAAGGGGTCATATGATGTTGCTAAAAAGAACATTATTTTGTTTATTTGGTGTAATGAAATGTGTTTATGCGGTTTAAGGTTAAAAAAACATTATTTTCCACATACTGTACATTATTGTTTCTCGTCTATGCCCCGCCTTTCTGAAACGCGTCGATGTTT